ACAATTATCACTTTTTTCAGGAAATATTTAAATATAAAAAATAAGGAGATGAGACAACTATCCACCAAAGTTCAAATGACCTAAGTCAGGATATTGTCGTTTGTTGCTGTGTATCATATTTGTTATTCGTTTGCTGTTTTCTACATAATTCTGGCGGCTTTTTATTTCTCGTTTGGAATGCTTTATCTTATATTTTGTCTGGGCCTTGTATGGCTTGCTTTGCGGTATGGGTTTTGCTTATTGACGAAGGCCGTTCGGTGACCTATAGTTGCTACAACATCTACGTCATTTGGTCCTTGGTGGAAAGTTTTCTAGTGGGCAATCATACTACATCTCCTTTTATGAATTGACATGTTCAACACTAGCAAGAGTAATTTCAGCAGTGTTTGTCAAACTAATTCCATCTTTTGTGAAAAATCATAATTCGCTGTTGTCCGATAATTCATCTTTACAGTGATTTACAGTTCAGTTGCTTGCCATACATATAAGCATATCATGAATTATCTCTCCAGTCCAGTTGTGGTTTGTGTAATAAAGGAATAGGATATCTTCTTCACCCTAAAAAATATATTATAATTTCTTACAAAATGTTTCATTAAATTTATCGCTAGCACTCGTTAGACGGACATTTCATTATCTCTTTTCTTTCAGAGCTCTTCAAAATCATAAAAAAATGACGACCCCGGGAACAAATCGTTGATATATAGAATATGTTGCGAGTTACTACTGCCTTGTCGGCATGAAAATTACCCCCAAAAAAACAACAGAACACTGCAAAATATGTTTTTTTTAAATAGTTTGGCACGTTTAAAATCTTTTTTTATTCTAAATGTCTTGAAGAGGAATAATTTATTTGAGGTGGGGAAGTGACAATAAATTATTAAACAATGAAATATACATAATTGAGTTTGAATCGAGTTGAAATGACAAAAAATATTCTACATAGATAATATTTTTATTCAAATAATACATACCTCGAACCCTTAAATCGTCATTTCTCTGCAGACCCTACATTGCTTTAAGTCGGTGCGACTGTATCCACCAGCAACATATGTCCACAAACAAAATTTCGGATACATGAGATATTCTTGCTTCAAAACGGTTCACATTTTCTTTATTATGAGCTAGATAGTTTCTACCTTGGCGTCTAATTTTTAAAATTACTTCATCGATGATCTAATCATTACTGCGTACTTGCAAAATCTTCGTTCTCGTGAAAATTAAGAGTTGTTGATTTTTCAAATTTCACCAAAGTCTCTTCCGTGGATTTAAGTCAGCTGTCATACGGGCTTCAAAGTCGACAAGATAAGAGGTCAATGTATTCAAGTGAACTTAAGTTCTGTGGTACATTCTCATGTACAATGGGTAAATGTCTGATTAAAAATTAATCTTATCTTTGATGTGCCGCATAAGCATCCTTATTAAGTAAGACAGTTCGTGCGTGACCTATGACATAAAATATTTATGCATTTCATTGGCTATTTTTTTTATCAAAATCCAGACCAACTAGTACATGTAACCTATATCAATTTACGTGCCTGAAGACGAATTTGTGTAAAATGTTTTTATTTGATTTTAAAAACTGAAAATTAAAATTAGATCATACCTTTTCGGGGCGTTTGGTTGGGCCTTTATTTTTGCAGGAATTTTGGACTTACATTTATTGGGACTCGGGAATCAATGAGTAATTTTTCGGGATTCGGGAAAGAATGCTGTATTTTTCGGGATATCGGTATTCAGCCTTTGTTTTTCAGGAAATTCGGGGTGACACTCCTCTCTCTTCAACAGACAATATTTAGAAGAAAAAAAATCTTTCTGTACGAGAATTTAAATTTGTCAAATATTTGCAATACTTGCAGATTTTTGTATTTCTTTATGTGGAATGTCTAAAAAAAAGGGGGCATGTTCATGTTCAACGTTACTAAACACTTGTATTGCTGAAACAATAAGAGATATTAATAATGACTATGTAAACTTTTTTCAAATATCAAATACTAGTTCCCAACTTAATCTCTTAACATATCCGTTTGGAATATTGTTTCTCCATATTGACAGCTATCTAATGTCAGTTCATAGGACCTCAGTTTGATGTAGGCGTGGCAGTCCATCATTTTTATCCAATCACCTGTCCGTTGTAATGAAGATTGGCGTGCGATTGTAGTTGAGGGAATGAATTGTTTATAATGACAGTGTAATAGTTTTAGGACTCAGTTACATCAACATCAAAAGGTAATGTACTTCATTGTAGAAACTGTGGACTACAGGTTCAAAATATAATTGATTTCGACAAATTGCTGTGTAACCACGATCATGATGTTGGATGTATTGATCTGTAAATTCTTTTTTGTGCTTTGAAAAGAAAAATGTATCTCAAAAAAGATGCATCCTCATCTCTTGTCTCTAATATATACTAATTACTCAACTTTACCTAACAATTACTTCTCTCTAAAGAAGAAATGATACAGACATTATTCAAAAAGACCATCCTAACATGAATGTTTTGTCTACATTTGCCTATAACTTATACAAACTAACATTTTGGTCTGTTGTCAGAAAGAAATGCATCGATCTGAATAAGAAAATGACCCAAAGAAACTGTGTTCAAAATATAGAAGTATAAGTTAATATTTTAGGAAACATTATTTGTTTTTATTTTTGCACCAATTGAACACAAGTGGCGACTCAGTAAAGGTTAAGCTAGCTATAAAACCAGGTTTATTCCACCATTTTCTACATAAGGAAATGCCTGTACCAAGACAGGAATATGACAGTTGTTTTCTCTTCGTTTGATGTGTTTGAGCTTTTGAAATCGCCATTTGTTAAGGGACTTTCCGTATGAATTTTCCTTGGAGTGCTGTATTTTTGTTACTTTACTTTTTATACGAACCCAGAATTCCTAGCAAGACAGGAGAACAAGTGGAAACTATAACTTCATCATTTGTGTTGCGTTTACAATATCTGAGATGCACCTTTCCTGAATTATAGTATTTATCTAACTGGATGTTAGTTTTAATTAGTCCTACTTTTGATAAATAAAAACAACATTTGTCAAAGCAAAATGTAATTTAATCAGACGAAACAGTGAATTTATATTCATTTTTTTTTCTTGTGGAATAATAATGTTTTAGTTTGTTTTGTTCTTCATTAAACATTCATATGACAAAATGAATAATCCTTTAAAATTGTCTAAATGATAGAGCATTTGATCAAAAGTATAAGAGAATAAGTAAAAAAGAAATGAAAAGTTTGGAATATGGAATGATAAAATCCTTATACATAACGCGCTTGTATATAGATATGGTTGAGAAGGAGACAAAACAATACAAATGAACCTATTGTCTTGGAGAACCTATCACTAATTTTGAAAATTGAAATTTTTCCCAGGAATCTTTTTCATAAAGTCATATGAAACGAGTTTCTGTGTATAATAATGTTAAGGAAATTTTTGAACCAATGCATGCATATATACAAAACTAAGTCTTTTAAGCATTTTTTTTTACATTTATTACGTATCCATAATGTATAATCGACAAAAAAAAAGAAATCAACATAGAAACATGGAGCACGTGAAAAAAGTGAGTTGATAAGCGATGTTAATTTGGTTTTATATTTTCCATGCGTTTCCATTTATTGATTAAATTCTGCCATGACAGTTGTTAAATGATTTGGTGTATTTAACTGTTCTTTCAAAGAATCAATTAAAAATATTTACCTTCACGTGCACGTGTGTTTACATACTTTTAATCACGGGTTTTCCCTCGCACTTGCGCTGTGCGGGTGTCGAAGTTCTAACGATAAGTCTCGCGGTTAAGGTCACTGCATGCGGAGAAGATACAGGAGGTTTAGAGTACGGGAAGACAATAATTCAATAGCAACAAATTATTTTAAGATTTTGATAAGATAAAGGATTTTCATTTACAAAAAAGTCCATGAACACTTGTTTTATAGCCATTCAAGTATATGAAACATATTTTTTTTATTAAATTTGAACTTTCATATCTTTTTGATATATTATATCCTAAATCTGAATTTTTGACCATCTGGACTTCGGAATATTAAATGGAATAGAGATGGCCATGAAAACAGATTAAAGGTTTGGCAATACGAACTCGAGAAAAAAAGAGGTTATGGTGCTTCGGAAGGATAAAATCATTGCTTATGACAAGAACAAATTCATGGAGAACTCATTCGGTGATGTCACAATCGATGAAAATAATACAGAAGTATGGTTTCGACAATTAAAACATATCCATGGTCTTCTGTGACACAAATATTTCGTAACGGTCTATTTCATCATAGTGTCTGTAAAACTTCCGAAGCGATTACTGAAACCACTTGCATCCACCAATTAAAGAAGGACACGCAAAATCTCAAATATCGTATCAACTGGGAGATATATACTCCATTTGCATGCACTGCTGTATTATTGACACTTACATATTTTTATTTACTGTAATACCCACGAGGACATACGTTTATATGATTTTGATTTTGCGTTTACAAATTTCCCGTTTCAGTTTTAAACTGATTACATATTATCGCCCTGTTCAAAATTTTCACAACTAAGTGTTATGATCGAATGCCATATTTAAGGGATTGTTATCTTATACAGAACAGTATAGGTGTAAAGTTGTTTAGAGGATACAATGGACACTCACATAACTTTACGAGTGCGAGTCATGAAAAATTGTCCACGAGGACATACCTTTTTCATGACAACTTGTTTTTGCGTTTTCAAACTGGCCGCTCCAGTTTCGAATTAATATACATGTACTATTTACAGTTGTATCTCTTGGTTATAAATGAATAACAAAAATATATGACAACGAGTGAAATACACATTTTCATAAACTTTTAATGAAGGAGTTAGAACATTTGATTCAATGGAACAGAAATTAATCCAATCAAATAGATCTGTCATATCTGGTCAATGGCAAGACACTGATTACTAGGTATTTGTTAATAACATTCTCATATTTGTTATAAATATTTTTTTTCAGTTACAAACATGCCGTATTGGGTATCTGTTACATGTGTTGCATCAGCCTCAGTTATTTATACCTCTATTGTAAGTAATAAAAGTAACAATTATCAGTTTAACTGTTTAATTTTCATTATACAAATAAGTGTTCACCAAAACATATACAGTTAGAATGCATTAACGATACCACGCTTATATTTTGGTTTCAGCGTTTCGTCTTCATAAGACTCATCAATGGCGCTTCAATATATAAAGAACAGTAGAAAGATCAATTAAAATACCAAGTGTCATCTATGCATAAGGGTAGAACTACCTTAGAGTTTCAAATAATTTATCTTTTCAACTTTCAACCTTAGAGTGCTAACTACTGGGCTGGTGATTCCCTCGGCAACAGAACGTCTTTCAGCAGCGGCATTAACCCAGTTTTTTTTAGCGAAACATCATAATGGATACCAGGCTAATATTTGGATACACCAGGCGGGCCTTTCGTCTACAGGGGTCTCGTAAATGTGGTGATCGTATTAAGTCCAAATAAAATATGAAGTTGAAATGCATTAAAAATGTTTTTTAAAATAAAAAAAAATTGCGCCAAATACGACTGCGGTCATCTCTTTACAAAATGTAATCACAGATTTAGGGATTTATTCTTAAACTTTTATCATGTTAATAACCTGTATTATTAATCATAAAACAAAAACAAAAGAATTGTTCTTCAAATATTTAGTTCCCATACTTATTGATAGAGGTTACAACTATGTTGTTACCGTGAAATCATTGCAACTTATGTTTTGTTTTGATTAGATTTGTTTTATTTGCTTAGGCTTATTATTGTTCTTTTAATATTGATTCACTGCATTGTTCATAGCAAACTGCTTCATGTATCTTCATTTTTATTGATATACAGTACACAAACCAACGAAACTCTTTGTATAATTATAAGTAGTTAGTAAAGAAATCTTTTTTATCTTTTATATAAACTGTACTACAAATATATAGGGGAATATAAATAACAAAGAAAATTAAATATTATAGCTCGAATATCAAACCACAATCCCTTACGTTTAAAGACAGTTACGTGTCACAGTATCAAATACAAAATCCTAATAGAATTAATTGTTGAATATTATATTTAATTAATGACACACTTTCGCAATTTTTTGCCCAAAATCATTTGTTGCATATCGAAATTTGACAATCAAAATTTTGCTTTTTACAGAAATTAAGCATTTTTAAGATTTGTCAGTTTTTCATTTTTACTGTGATGTTCTGTTGATAATCATCGATATCTTTACAGGGAGGAATTAAGGCAGTAATATGGACGGATGTTTTCCAGTGTCTCATCATGTTTATGGGTATATTTGCCGTCTTGATCAAGGTTAGCGACATAAGACTAAGATTCATATTACATACATGAAGTATACATGTTTCATAAACTGTAAGGTACAATGTGGAAGGTATTCAAATCAAATATATTAATTTGTACATCAATATAATTATCTTCTCTTATGCTTTTCATTTTTAACAAGGTAAATTAAATCATAAAATATTCATAGAAGTATTTCCACTTTTTACACAAGCTAATCAACATTTGGCGTTGGAAATTAGAGATTCAAAATTCAATATCTTATATAAATGTTGATAATTTTAATATCGTTATATCGTTATATATATCACATTATAAAAATTGGAGATGTAATAATCAATATTCTAAATAACAAACCACAAAGATTATCCACGTATAAAATTATTACCACCAGTAAATTATAAACTCATCATAGATACCAGGATAAAGAATCTACGCCAGACGCACGTTTCGTCTACCAAAGTCTCATCAGTGACGCTCGAATTAAACAAGTTTAACACGGCCAAATATAGTTCGAATTTGGAGAGCATTAAGTACTCAAAATTCCGCAAGGTTTTGCCAAATACAGCTAAGGTAATATATTCCTATGGTAGAAAATCCTTAGAATTTCGAATATTCCAAAGTTTTATAAACAGTTAATATACAATTATGACCATATCCATGATAATTCATGTCAACACATAAGTGCTGATTACTGGGCATACCATACCCTTTGGGAGAAAATCTCCACCTGTGGTTGCATCGACTCAGTGGTTGTAAATATACTCATCATAGATACCAGGATAAAAAAACTCTACGCCAGACGCGCGTTTCGTCTACCAAAGACTTACCAGTGACGTTCGAATAAAACAAGTTAAAAAAAGTCCAAATATGGCAACACATCTTTTAACAAACAATCATAAATATGCTAGGAGCGCTCTTTAAAATACTAACAGTGGCTTCGACCAAGTGGTAGTAATACAAAACTACACTTTACTTAATCTAAATTCATACGCTATTTGTGCATTATTTTTTTTTAATCATTAATAACTAATATAAATCCCAAATTAAAATATTGGAAATGCGAAGTATGAAACATAATAAAGCAATATACCCAAAACGAAATATATACCTTCCACCTTCAACACCCCATAAACCTAACTACTTTACATCTGTGCATCATACTAGACATTCTAATTATGTGTAATTGAATTATACAACTTTGTTTTCACTACTATGATTTAATTTAAAACATCATATTCATACTTAAATATGTACTTGAAGCAAACTTATTCGCTTTCCCGTCGAACTTGAAATAAAGATACCACAAAATAGTTAAGTCTGCCTCATATCTTGACTTAGTCTAGAAATTTACAATGAGGGTCGACTAAGAACAAAACTTTAATACAAAAGGGATGAATTAAGCTTTCCAATTATGAATTTTCCATTTCTATGTAGCATCATTCTAACAGCGTCTGCATAGGGAGTATAAATATCCAAATTGATACGATATACAGAATTTGCGTTTCCTGTCATTATTTCCCTGAAAGAGTTTCTGATTTCAAGGAAGCTATCTAATGAAGGGATCCTAGCAATACAAGTTTTACGGATGACATCATGAGTTGTTTAACAGTAACTGAATATCTGTTTCAACCATAACAACGGATATGTTTCAATTTTCGTAGCCATACTTCCGTAATCGTTTCCTTGATTATGACAAAACCGATTGAGACTTTACATCGAATGTAATTACCATGAGTGGCACCCGTCGTGTTGCTCTTTATGACAAAATGCATTTCCTACAATATATTCAATTCCCCAGGGATCTATCACCGTTATCGAATCAATAATCTTTAATTATCATAAACATCGCTGACCCGTATATATTTTTATTTTGAATTGCAAGATGCATTGCCAGCAATACAAAACCTTCCCGGGGGAACATAACCTAAATATAACCATCACCAAAGGGTATCTATCAGTATTTTTCAATGACTTCATAAAAGCAAGAATTTCAACGTATTTTGTTTTAATTGTTGTATAGATAATGCAGAAAATAAACTATAATCGTACATTCAAATCTGAGTATGTAGCCATACACTATAGGTTTGAATAATAATAAAAAAAGATTAATGAATGATAATAACAATAATAAAACTAGAGGTTCTCAAGAGCCTGTGTCGCTCACCTGATTCTACTTTGGTTTTGGAAATCATGTAAAAATAGATTAAAATCATAACAGATACCCTAATAATGATTGAGGCCAATTTTTTTTTAATATTGGCCCTGTAATTTAATCAAAAGCAGAAGACTTTTGTAAAATTTACAGAAATTACTAATAAATACATTGAAATTGTAGAAAATAGACTTTAAAAGGACAATAACTCCAACAAGATGTCATTTTGCTCATGTTGACTTATGTGTAGATCTTCTTTTCTTGATATTTATGCAGTTTACAGTAGATCTCAATCTATAAAGATACATGTATTAAGGTCTTCATCAGCACCTCATAAGGAACATTTATGCAATGTTTGGTTTCATTCCTTTCAGTGCTCCTCTAGAAGAAGCATTTGTATGTATTTCCCATAGGGTCTTAGGTTAAACGAAGTCCCCCGCTGGCGGCCATCTTTGATGATGGACCGGCTTCAAATAACAACACTTGGTCAGCACCTCATAAGGAACATTCATGCCATGTTTGGTTTCATTCCATTCAGTGGTTCTCTAAAATAAGACATTTGTAAGTATTGTCCATAGGGTCCTATGTTAAACGGAGTCCCCCGCTGGCGGCCATCTTGGATGATTGATCGGCTACAAAATAACAACACTTGGTCAGCACCTTATAAGGAATATTCATGCCATGTTTGGTTTTATTCCATTCAGTGGTTCTCTAGAAGAAGTTCAAAATGTAAAAAGTTAACGACGACGACGGACGACGGACGCCAAGTAATGAGAAAAGCTCACTTGGCCAGGTGAGCTAACAAGGCGAAGGTGAAAAGCAACAGCAGAAGAAATAAGACTGCAAAAAGTTCTTTCTAGAAATACGAACACCTACGATGAGTAAACAGAAAAATAGCTTTTAATTTCTTTTTTAAATAAACAGCTTTTCATAGCTTTCTTTAATTTAAGGGAACAATTTCTGCTGGAGGACCAAAGCGAGTGTTTGATTTAAATAAAGAAAATGGAAGATTGTACTTGTTCAAGTAAGTCGACTGAATATTCTGAAAAGGATAAAAAAAAACTACTTTTGGTTTGAAAAGAAACTACATTAAATGGATAAATAATTCCAAACGTGTCTTCAATGAAATGGGGAAGAACAGCTTATATTCTATATAAAAAATCGTATTCATCCACGAATGCAATCTGCAACACAGAACATTAAAACTTTATTTAAAATAGGTTATTTCTTTATCAAATGTTTATCGGAAGAACAAAATGTTAGAAACAAAAGGAAAATTAACAGCAGAAGAATATCTAAATGCATAAAATAAAATAATAAATAATAAATCATTTGTTTTAAGAAGATTAACCAGGGTCTCCTGTCCAACTAAACATTAGAACTTGAATTTCTGGCTATAATTACACAGAGAGCAGTTAACATGAACTCATCGTAAAAAGTAGTTATTGTATGATATTATTTAATTATGTTCATTCATATAGCTTTGATACAGATCCTACAGTACGACATACATTCTGGGGTCTAGTCATTGGATCATGTTTAAGACTGATCGCATTGTCATTCAATCAATCAACAGTACAAAGAATTAGTTCAATGAGCACACAGGCAAAGGCTAGAAAGTAAGTCAATGGTTTGATAATTACTGATAATAAAAAATTATCACGAAAAAGAAAGAAAAAAAAACCCTTAAGATTATAAAGCAAATAGACAAAAAAAATATATAAAGAAAAGATACGTTTTTAATGCAAGTATGATAAAATTGAGAATGATATTTGGGAATGTGTCAAAGAGACAACAACCCTACCAAAGAGCAGAAAACATGATGTTTGTATATAAAAAAAAAAGGTTGCAATTGAAAACCACAAAGGCCTAAACATAACAGCTGTAAGCGTCTGGGAATAATTTTGCTTGTAGGACTTGCAAACACAATTAAAATATTTCATGTAATGAAAAAATAACCGACAAAAATTGATATTTAAATCATGTCAATTTCAAAAGCACTGGGCGGATGGTACCAAAAGATACTGATAGTCAAGCAGACTTCGTGAAAGTTGTTGGCCGACTTCGTGAATGTTTTATACCGACTCCGTGAAAGTTCTTGAACGATTCTCTGAGTCATTGACCGACTGCGTGAAATATATGTAGACTGACTTGTTGAAATATTTGGTAAACTCTTTCCGTTATAATGCCGGAAAGTTTTTTTAACAGTTATTTCATTTTTGTCCATGGAGGATAGATGCTGACTTTGAACATTTACTATTGATTCAATAGCACATTCACGGTGGTGAAAAATCTATGTGATAATAAGATTATTATCATTAAACAGTCGCGACCATGCAAGAATGCCTCTGGCTATTTTATAAACTACATTAGCGATCTGTTTAATTTGCCTTGAAATGATAAAAAAAATAACGCAAAATGAATGGTACATTAGGGTTTGGATTAGAGTCTTCATACTTGTAATCTTTATTTTTTCTTCTTCAAGAGCACGCACCCATTACTTTCCTTAGATAATGCATTAACTGGAAAATAAACCGCACTTTCGGTTTTTTATTCAGCGTAAACATACGATTAAGCATACAATTTCCGGCATTGACCACTTGGCAACGCGAAAGATTATGCATGTAATCACTGGGTATCTTTACTATTCTGTGGCACCTGGTTTAGCTTTTGATTCATCCTTAAACGTTGTTATTTCGATGTTTTCTACCTGTATGTGTTAAAAAAAGCCAAGTATAATGTAGAAAAATGATACATACCAATTTAGAAAAACAACTTCTGTAACAATTTTGTTATTCAGAAATGGGGAAAAATTTTCTTAAATCAATTTTTTTTACCATTAATAATAATGATAATTGCATAAATTCGAAAGAGAAAAACACAAATGTATATAATTTTTTCAGAGTTTTGTTTTTCTCTGCACCAGCATTCTTCGTCACACTTTCAATGGCAACTTTAGAAGGAGTAGTGGCGTATGCATATTACACAAGCATCAGATGTGACCCATTGACATCAAAACGCATACAAAATCCAAATCAGGTATGCAACAAAAACAAACCTGTATTACGTGATTTAAGAATATCTGTATTGACTGGTTGTAGAAGGACTTAGGTTATTGATAGAGACTCGGAAACTTTACGTACACTCTAACAAACTGATCTAAGTATGAGATACTTTTCATTTTACATCCCGTCAGTAAACATCGTGTAATCTCCCTTCCATCTTGTAGATACAAAAAAAAAGCAATGATATATAGCTTAACCCGACCATTTGTTCACCAATAATCTGTCAAAGGGCTTAGCTTATCTTTCCCAATACAGCCTATGTAAAATCCATTTTTGTAGGTGAGTGTGTTAAAATTGATAATAAACAGGAAAATCTTCTATTAAATCTCTATCGATTTTTGACTCATTGTCTACTTTTCTCGCTCTAGGCAATATACATAAGGCATATGAAGCAGAAAATATCCTCAGCAATTGACATCACACCTGTTTGAATTGCCCTGAGGTTGAAGTTTAAAATCTAAAATATTATTTGTCTCCTTTTATATGACTTCTGATATTCTGTACAATCTTTGTGTATACTCATATAATATTTTTTAATGCTACTAATTATTCAAAGTACAAAGGTTATATAAAAATAAGAAGATGTGGAATGATTGCCAATGAGACAACTCCCCACCAGAGACCAAATGACATAGATTTTTTGGTTTACCATTATTGATATTGATAATTGCCTAAATTTCAAATATAAAAAAAACCACCAACAAATATATATATATATATCGAAATCTGGATATGGTGTACTAATTTTCGCACCTTTTGTTTGCGGTATACCATTTTTTCCGCAAGTTTATTGTTTTCTGTTTGGTATTACATTAATAGTTAAGATCCATTTTGTTACATCTGGTGATCCGTTTATTTATCAATCGCCAATGGCAGTCAGCAGGGTTTAAGAACATCCGTTGTTCGACCTGCTAGTCAAATGCGTTTTGTTAAAATATACTTTTTCACTTTTTTGGTCTTTTGGAAAATGTTGTTTGTGCTGTATTTAGACCCCTCTACCAAGAAATTTGTTTTGCATGCACACGTATAAAGATTGCGGTTTTTATCCAACGCAATCATAGGTTTGAACGTTGTTTTCAATTTAGAATGGTATATATATATATACTGACTGCCTTTAAAAACGCAACACTCATTTTGTTGATTTTTTTCCCACATCATGTTTGATTCTCATACTTCTATTAATGCTTACCATACTTCTTTCTCTTAAGAAAAAATCAACATCTGACTTACCTGTGGTTATTGAACATACCGGATTTTTGAAGTCGCATGAAATTCTTAAAGCGAAATTTGGAACCCATAAAAGATTTTTTCAGTTTGTTTTGCTTCGTGAAACAGTTCTTTCAATCCTTTGCCACACTTAAATCAGTTAAAAAATGCTGCATCTTCATATTGCTAAGACTGAGGAATAAAAAACTGAATCAGCCCATAAGAATACTGCAAACAGGAAAACGTGAACGTGCTGCAACCATACAGTTTGACTTCAGAAACTCGTCTTACAGTCCTTCCGACAACGATACAGGTAGACGGGATTTGTTGCTGACCATCAATGACCAGATCAATATGTAGTGACAATGCAACGTCAATAGAATTTGATTACGCAACGTCATTTGCGAGACATGTTTACGGCTGCAACGTCACTGCTTATCAAATTGCCGAATGCCATTGCGCACAGATTTATGCCATAAACGTTTCCCATAAACTGAACTTCTAAAGAATCGACTGAAGAAAAACATTTAAAGCCCTGAAGTTTCAACCGCATAATTGCCAAAACCCATTGTAATGGGTGAAACAAACGCATATTCAGAAGGTGTAAAACAGAACCCTAAACATGTGGAACAGAATTGGTTGACCTTTCTGACAATCATTTTTGCATTTGTTACAGGCAGTCATTGCTTTTGACGGTGCCACATTCATTCAAAAATTTTAAATGAATAATCTAGTGTTGCGTTTCTGAAGTCGGTCAGTATATATAAGATGCATTATCTGTGCATATAATATAATCACCCACCTTGCTAATCGAGACTTAGTAAAACAAGTCTCGATAGGGAAGAGGACACGTCGATAAATTTTCAGACCAGACGACTTTTCTGGTGTCTAAAGAGTTGAGACAGAAATATCGGTCCAGATATTGTTCACAATATACCTTAACTTAAACACAACTATATGAAAAAAAAAATAAAAATGATCACACCAAGTTAAAGACTAACTTCAGCAATTGACATTCATTGCTGTTGGTGTCTTCATTACAATCTGATAAACAATATAAACTGCTGACAGCATTGAAACAAAATGGCAACCAAAAGAACAGCCAAAATCGCCGAATGTGAATTTTACCCGAGGAAGTTTCAACCTTAGTTTTAGATACAATTACATAACTGGAAATCGACAGAGTACTGCATCATTTATATCATGTTGTAACATGAATGGTAATTTTTCCTTTGATCTTCTAGTGAGTTAACTTCAGCTATTTTTTAGTTGAGTGCGTTAACACGCAACCACTGCAATCAATTAACCGAATTTTTCCTAGTTTTTGGGAATGAAAGAAGATTATTAATTACCTTCATAAATGTTATTAGGAAATGTTTCCTTTTTATCACAGCGTCCTTTGAAACTACACGTCTTTTTCGGATTTGAGGGCAAATAAACATCGAATAAAATTTTGCATTACCCCCGTCACCGCCCCCCCCCCCCCCTTTTTCTCTCCAAACCACACCCCCTTTTCGAGTTAATTCGTAAAAGGCGTGCTATATATATATAACATAATACCGAAGTCACTGGCTTAAAGGTATCGTCGGGAACTAATAGTCCTCTGCTAACGATTCTTGTCAGTGGTAGTAAAAACGTACAATTTAATCTTTGTTCGTGTCAATGCAAGTTTCTGGAATAAGCTTCATCAGGTACGCTCTTGACCAAAAATTTGGAAAATCAAAACATCTGAATTGTTGGAGAACATTAAAAAGAAAAAGGCCTTAAACAGCTAAAACTATCTACGGTAAAATTTGGCTGAATGAGAATGCTTACATTTATTTAATATTAGATCAAAGTGGTAGATAGAACTTATGCTTTCTAACACTCAAATACTAACGACAATTAGAAAAGTTATCATTTAAAAAAAAATCTGACATCATTTTATATTCTTTCAGATAATACCTTACATGGTTCTAGACATCTTCCGGAATCTCCCTGGGATGTCGGGTTTGTTTATGGCATCCCTTTTCAGTGCATCTCTTAGGTTTATATACATTATCATCCTTATTTATGATCATATTTTCATTTGTGTTCTCCATATCTCTTTATTTTGAAATGCACTAAGTTAAACGTTAAACAAACTGTTAATTCGGATATAATATAATGTCATGGTTTTATTCTTGAAAACTACGACAGGAAATGCACATAACCATAATCAATACTGGCACTCAAATTATGTTGCAACATGCACAGGTGTATATTATATTGTATAACGCAACACCATATTGACATCTAGATGTCTGTTGCTGTTTTTGTCGTTTTGTTGCTGTCCTATTGACATATACTCACATCTTTTATTCACATCAAATGGATTGTTCATCATTTTCTGTTGTAAAAAAAAAATAAAAATACAGACACAAAAAAATCACCCAAAACACCGTCCATGCTGTTAGTCAACCCATCTAATTTGATAACAATAAACTACATAGCAATACAGTTGGGATCAGTTCATACCTTTTTTTCAATCTTACAGGAATTGTCAGGAGAACTGTTCAAGAAAAATCTGTAAAACATTTCTCCTGACACCTTAAGAACAGTTTCTGACCGGTGCTACCCTAGAACCGTTTTAGACCTTTCTTACCTAGAACAGTTTTGGAAAATTATTATCTAAAACAGTTTTCAACAGTTCTGGACTCCTACCAGAACAGATTCTGACAGTTACACCCTAAACCAGTGTTGGACAGTTCTACCCAAGAACTGATTCAGATAGTCATACCCTAGAACTGATTCTGACATTTCTACCTTATATATCTGATTCTGACAGTTCTACACTTAAACAATCTGATTCTGAAAGTTCTATACACTTAAACAATCTGATTCTGACAGTTCTACACTTAAACAATCTGATTCTGGCACAATCTGATTAAAATACGGATCCTGTGTCTAAGCTTTGCTTACAAGGATCTCCGTTTTACTTTCTGTTTTGGTAATTATTACATCAGCCTATGAAATTTCAGCCTTCAAATTTTGGAAGGTGTGTATTTATCAGAAGAAACCAGAGGATACCAACAGGTCTTTAAAACAGAAAATAGAACGGAGCATTTTCAAATCCTTGACCAAAGCTTGAACATAGGGTCTGTATTTTAATCAGATTGACCTTTAGACTGATTCTGAAGATGACGTCTATGTGTTTTTCATCGTATCATCTTATTAGTAATTATTATGGATATTATCAGTATCTTCTTCTGTTGACTTTCCTATCATATTTATTTGGCATCTGTATTTTTCTTTATTAGTACTATGTCGTCTGGATTGAGTAGTTTGTCTGCCATGACAGTAGAAGATTACATTAAACCTTATCACAATTTTTCGGATAAAAAGCTTACAGTCATAGCAAAACTTTCGGGTAAGTAATAAAACTTATAGGCGAGTGACTTTAACCATAAAATTAAATTTTTAATGCACCCACCTAACACACGGCTAAATTATATATTATTTGAAAGCTACACAATTGTACTATCTGTTTTGCCCGGTCGTAAAAAAATCGTACGGTGCAATGTCCGTCAAATCAAGATCAAAGGCCAAGGACGAATAAGTGCATATTTTCTAAGATTTCAGCTTGATTGCATAATATGACTTTTATATACTAAATTCACAAATGCAAACCATTTAAACTTTTAGCAGAGAGATTAACGGTCATTAATCAAATGCATTTTAAAATATTTAAAACGTGTTTTTGATAGACAGCACATGTTTCCTGAAATTCGAGTCAACGTTAACAAAATGTGTGAAAACCCAAATTTTTCTTTCCGATGCACTGCTAATCACTTAAAACTAAGTAAAACCTTGTAATAACTATCAAAGAAGTTTGTCATAAATTTTCTAAAATTATGCTTACTTCTAATCAAACAGCAAATCATAACAACTCATGCAGTTGCCCAAAATACCGCCATCTGCGAAAAAACAGCTTTTAAGCATTTCTTCCTATTTAAACACTGTATGTGGTCAATATAAGATTTAATAAACAAATTCTTACGAATCTGAAAAATTTAAAGTAAAAAAATATGTGTGCGAATCATACTATTGCTTGAAATAAGAGATTGCAATCTGCATTGTAACTACCAGACTGAAATAAACATCTTTTGACTTTTCTAATTGTTTGATTTGTAGCTTCATTATAAATATTGATGAAGTGAAAAGACCTTTTATTTATTTAATGTGAACCATAAAAAATAAATTAAAAATTTAGACAAAAATAAATAAAAAATAAATTGATGAAAATTGAAATTTAAAAGAATTTAAAAACCAGTAAACACATTATAAAACTTGACTTCTTGATTGCTTAAATTGCGTTGTTCACTGTTTTAATGCATTAATTCATCAAATAAGAATAATTTTGAAGAAAAAAAATCCATTAATACGCAACGATTCTAGTTACAACTAGACTTTCTGAATAGCTTGAATGACTAGTTCATTTTTCATACGAGGATGACTTCATGCAAGAGCTTCTGATGACGACTGAAAAGAAGCTACCATTATCTTGAAACTTCACTTTCCACTATATTTTGTCCTGCATTTTTTTAGTTGTAATCTCTGTCCTGCCTTTCTATTTTTCACTCTATTCGGTCCTGCTTTTTTTTTTAAAGTTTATCGTGACTTTTTTTTACCTAAATTGTCATCCTGACTTTTTTTTTTGCAAGTGTCTCATCCTTGGTTTTTTTTTTTACTCAAAACTCCTGTCCTGCCTATTTTTTTAAAATTTCATCCTAGCCCCCCCTCCATAAAAATCAAATGGTAGATCCCTAAAGGAGGAGACAAATTTCATTGACTTCAACTCCTCTGAAACAATAACAAGTCGGAATATTTATGATATGACGTATAAATGTAGGGTTTTGAATTTCCTAAATTTGTCTTTGCATGCTCAGTCGACGTACTGCTCGCAAAATTAAATACAACTCTTTATTTAAACACTTGTCCAATTGTAACGCGATTTCGCGGCATCTTCTTGTGGAGTATATATCTCCAAGTTGATACAATATTTCAGAGCTTGCATTTACTTTCACGATTGTCGTGATAGTGCGTAACTGCTCACAATGAAGATATTAAATAAAGGCAACTATAGTATACCGCTATTCAATAGTCATCAATCGATTTACTAGTAACTGAAACAAATCAGGGTCACAAACCAAACCCATGGGAAACGCATCAACTATAAGAGGAACACAACGGAATAACAGAAAAACTGAACTGCTACAAAAACAAACATTAACATACAAAGAAACAGATTATTCGATACCAACTGCCATATGCCTGACTTGGTACAGAACATTTGATGAAAAATGGTGGTTTGAACATGGTTTTAAACCAGAGTTCAAATGCAAAGTTGAAATCATCCCTTTGTAAATTTTATGGACGCCACTACGAGTTGGTTGACAATTATGAAATATCTGTTTTGCCAGATGACGACTGATAAGTTCCAATCGACGTAACCAAAATACCTTCATTTCTGCCTTAAATGTCACTACCGAATAAGGCTTGGCACCGAGGTAGGAATTACACGAGCCACAAGACGGGTGTCACATGTGGAACATGATCTGCTCACCCTTTTGGAGCCCCTGAGTTCACCCCAAATATTTTTTGGGGGTTTGTGTTACTCAATCTGTAGTTTTATATGTTGTGTTTTGTAAACTGTTGCTTGTCTTGTTCGTTTTTTGCCTGGCTTTGTCAGTTCGTTTTCAATTATGAGTTTGATGTCCCTTTGATATATTTCGTCACTCTTCAAGAAGTAAAAGTTTTAAAAATTGTAGATCATTGTAGTTAAATGTATCATGATAACGATTTGGTTCTATATATATATCACCGTGAGCAAATTAAGTTATTTTCGCGGATATTTGTCTTATTGCGTTAATTTACTTTACTTTGAGGCGATTTTTTTGCCGATTTTCATTACTGCAAGTTAATATCTTTAATATCTTTAAAGTGAAATAATACCAAAGGGACAATCAACATCTCAAACCATGAATCAAATAAACTTAATTAAAACCATGAACAAAATAAAATTAAAGTCCAAGAGACGAACAACTGTCCACAAAACACAGCACAGCATGAAAACGATCACTGCCTTAAACAGCGAATGATTTTATGAGGTCAGGAATGTATTCAACTTTTTCATTTTTTTATTTCACAACTGCTTATAGTGTTTTACATACACAATGACCTGCATTTGTATTTTAAAAGCTTATGTTGAAAATACTCAATCCTATCTCTATACCTTTGAAATTTGGTTTGTGAGAATAAAGATATATAGAAGCATCTTTTATTCTAATAATTAAAGAGATTTAACTTCTAAACACATTTAATATGTCTAACACGATTTTAAACTAAATAAGAAGAAGCAGCATTATATGTAGTTCGTTTACATCCCGCTTTAGACAACCAAGTGTTTCTAAACAAGGTTACTTATTTCAATGTTGCCTACGATCTACTCGCAAAGTCATGTTTGCATTTAAATATGATTAAAAAAAGTAAATAAGTTTGACTTCGTAAAAAACATATTTTTACCTCAATTTGCTCGTATATATTCTTTTCGAACTTTAAATACCCCTTCTTTTATTATGGAAAATCATTCTCCTCCCTGATATTGACAATTAGCGATGTGCTATCTTAACACAGAATAACAAAAAGATCGCTATTTGCAGATGGCAGATTTTTGGGCAACTGCAAACACTTCAATAGAAGGCTGTTCTATGAACAACAATTAATAATTGTATCTTAAAATTACAAAACAAATATTCCTTGACCTAAAACATATTATTTATCTATTTTTTTAGCATACAAATATCGATCCTCCAAGATATATATTGCTTTTGGAACAATTTTTCATTTTTTTAGGATTTGTGATGAATTTCAATTTTTGGGAAATATTGCGCATATAACCTCTTATTTTTTGTTTGATTTGGAAGTCATGTATTATGTTATATAAAGTCCATATGATCTTTTGAAAAATTTTATCGTACAAGAAGTAGAAAATGGCTTCTTGTTTAGTAATCGCAAAAATTGTAATGTTTTTTCATGACCTTTGACCTTGATTTAACAGAAAATGCACCGTACGATTTTTTTACGACCGGACAAAACAGAAAGTACAGATTATTAGCTTTCGAATGATATATAATACAGTCGTGTGTTAGGTGGGTGCATTAAAGTCGTTAACTAAGCGTCTTTTTGAAATAAGTCACTCGCCTATTAAAACTAACTTTCAAATACGTTATCAGACAGTAATGAAACTGCACTACATAAAACTTGATGTTATACACAGATAATTGTTTTCTATGTCACTTTTATAAATACACTAATCTAATTTTGTTTTAATTGAAGAATTTTTTTTATGTTTTCAGTGCCGTTTTATGGATTGCTTTCAGTAGCCGTTTCATTTATGATAGCATCAATCCCTGGACCGATGTCCCAAGTAAGTCAGATAGATATTGTTCATTTCATAACCTTCAAAGTTTGACTCATCAAAGAAACGTGTGCCAGTTTGTTAAGTCTTAAAAAATATTATATATGTCTGATTTTTCGAACCCCTATCTTGTATAATGATTAAGTCGAAAAAGGACGTCTAAAATTTCAAAAACTCTATTCCAATGTCGTTAATAGGGAGATTTAGAAAATTCTCTACCAATTATTACAGAATTGTTGTCCTGATATTTTTATAAAGAAAGAAAACCATTGGGCCTTAAACACTTAGAGCTTTTTTTTAAAATTGATTTGAATATGATAAGATGTATTCTTATATATTGGTCATATAGCTCAAGTATTTCTACATCCCCGGCTTATTAATGTGTTGGTTTTAAGCGCGACCGACGAAGGTTAATGCGGAAAAGTGTTTATATTCACCATATTTTTCAAAGTGTTTTTTTTTTTTATTTTTCATTTTTGAAGCCCGGAGGGTTCAAGATTTGTAACATATATATGTAAATATTAATCTTGATTGCAATATTATTTGTTCATGTATTTAAGGGATACATTTATCAGTATTTATGTTACTGTTTTAAATATATTCCGTTATCAAATTATTAGTTTCTGTCGAATGTTAGCTGAGTATTCTTTGAATGCTAAACTATGTATGTATGTGTTTATCAATTAAAGTAAACATAATTATTTTAAGGTATAATATTGCATGCACGATGGACATATTTCTATGCGAAAGAACAAATGGACTAATGCTTATTATGATTGTTAATCCTCTTTTACCACATCACCATCGCCAACCGTTATTTACCGTATTAGCACTTATTTTCTATCTTTTTAAAGATAACTGCAAGCATTTTACCAGCATTTGGTGGCCCATCGTGTGGATTATTTTTGTATACGGTATTCTTTCCATGGGCGACAAAAAAGGTAAACACGTAACATATAAAGTTTATATAAATATGTTCTTAAAATTCAGTCAGTTGTTTAGCAATGGACTACAATTTCTTTTTAAACAAAGACATTTTTAACGGACAATGAATATGAAAGTATAAAGTTTAGTCACAGTTGAAACAGAACAGGTACAAACATACAAACAAGCTAGGAATCGCATGAAATATAAAATAAGTAGACAAGGTGAGTCGACAAGGTAAAACTCTCTCTGCCCTATGTCGCCAGTTATAGATCGTTATACGATTCCAAACTCGCATCCTAAAACGGCAATTTGAGATACAAATTATAATCTCCATTCTAAATCCATGTTGTTCTAGATTGTAAGCCTGACGTTTTATTTATGTTCACTGACCAAGTAAATCCACATTTGATGAAGTAAATTAAATCCGTCAAATGGGATTTTTTTTTAACAAAACAGGTATTTGCCATATTCAATTCCTCTGCTACCTCTTTTTGATAGATTCTGCATAACGTATGTTAAGTAAATATATACACCCTGGTTTTATATTTACTTTATAATTACACCTTATGTAAGAATCCTGGGTTTTGATTGGTTGATATCCAGTGTATTTTTCACCAATTTACTGTTATCAAATGAATATCGTTCATTTTTTAACGCCGCCGGGGTATATGCAAAAAGGATATGCCTTTTTTACCCTCTCTGCCATGGTATTTGCCAAAAAATACTCTATCCGACTGGACGCTTGTAACGTCACAATCATCAATGCGTTTTTGAACGTTAACATTCGGTGTAATTAAACAGATATAGCATGTTCTTGAGGGGGTATTTGCGAAAAATACCAGTCTTGAGAATGAATTTCCCTCGACTTACGGCTCGCGAAATTTAACATTCTCTCGACTGGTATTTTTCGCAAATACCCCTCCTTAACATGATATATCTGTTCAAAATACTCTATCCGACTGGACGCTTGTAACGTCACGATCATCAATGCGTTTTTGAACGCTAACATTCGGTGTAATTAAACAGATATAGCATGTTCTTGAGGGGTATTTGCAAAAAATACCAGTCTTGAGAATGAATTTCCCTCGCCTTACGGCTCGCGAAATTTAACATTCTCTCGACTGGTATTTTTCGCAAATACCCCTCCTTAACATGATATATCTGTTCAAAACACCTTTAGTCTGGTATTTTTTGGATGAACTCTAATTCGCTTAATTCATAGCATGAAGCAAAACTAACATATTTCTTTTGTTTTTCTTAATTGAAACTGTGTACAGTTCGTTCAGGACATTGCACAAGATCGCGTCTTCATGTACTGTTTATAAAAGTTGTTGAATGAAACCTTATATGAAGTACAGAAACAGTATAAGAGTGTAGGACGAAAGTAGTTTCATATCATCAGCCCAATAGCTCAGTACTTCGGTAACGGCATACATTTAATGAAATATGCTGTTATAAAACTTCATTTTAAATAAGGCTATACATCTCCCTCATGCATAGTTCAGATTTCCTTTCCGTGTTTGGGTATAAGTTTGGTCCTTTTCGGTTATATCAGCTCTTCACCGTTATAATAATATTCGGATTTTCAAATATTTTGGCCTCGTGCATCACTAAAGAGATATTAATGTCGAAATGCACACTTGGTGCAGTAAAATTTGTTTCGTTAATGTTAGTTACTTAGAGCTTGCTTTAAGTAAATGCGAGCATTACGGTATAACATTTATAATTATAATTGTTTTGTTATAATTATTTTGTTATATTGTGTGCTTGTTATCTGTTATATTGTTATTTTAGAATTAAGGGCTTTTTTTGTACTGATTTTTATTGCATGTTCTTTTATTTGCCTTGTAGCCCACTGATTGAGAATAAATGGGGGACTGTAGAGATCTCAAAAGAACTTATTTAACCCCTGTCACATGTTCAAGTGTCTGTCCCGTTTGATGTGATTGTCTTATCTCATATTTTAATGGGGGTTTTCTGAGTTTTTATGTCACAAGTTTTTTTTTTATCTTGATTGTTTCTTTTTAATTTATTCACAACTTTTCGTTACACTCGGGGCGATTATTAGCTTGACATAATTTGTAGACACATGCCCATAGTTGAGGACTGTATTATGTTGACCTCTAGTTGTCTTTTGGTTATTTGGTTGCTGTCTGCTTGCTGTCTGCTTGACGTACATCCCACGTCTCCATGTATTATATTTTGGCGTTTTCAATAGCAATAAATGAATTTTGTTATTTTATCTAACAATTTAAGTGTCAGTCTTTGTAAGAATCAGGCAATTTAGAAAAAAATCAAAACATGGCCGAAAAACCCCACCGACATAACCACCCTATTTTGAAGGTACCCTCATCTTAGTGTAAACATATTTTATTAATTAAATTCAGGTTAAGTAATGTACACAAATTGGCATTTACATATTAATACAAGTAAATAATTAATAGGATCCAGAAACAAGCTGTTAGCTTATATTAATCCGTTTCCTAATTCAAATAAGAACATTTCATATTGTAATACTCAAGGAGTAGAATGTAAAAAAAATAACAATGTTACACTAGATGGAAAACAAACAAAACATATACATGTAATAAGGTTGTGAACACAAAAGAGAAAATTTTTTTTTTTTTACATCAGGCATACAATAATAAAGTGTATGTTTCTGAACGGACATAATTATTTAAGATATAAGTATTACTTGTTGAACAAGATGATTGTAATCATATGACAAATCTTTTGCTACTGAGTATGAATGTTTGAACTGCCAAGAATATTTCAATGTTTTGTTCGTAGCTGAAATCCGTTGAACCGTGTAGCAAAATTTCTTCCGACAAGAAATGTATGATATTGATGTTATTAAAATGCTGTTCACGCATGATGTGAAATCGAGGGCAGTGCAACAAGTAATGCGCTGTTGTTTCTATAGCACCACATAAACAAAGTGGTGAGGCCACTATATTTTTTACAGAACTGCATTGCATTTGAAGTCTTGAGTGATAAATTTGACCTAATCGCTTACCAATGTAATAATAATTTGGAGGCTTAGTCACCCGAGACTGGACACAATTCCTGAATGCCCCCACCGAAGTACTGGTCTTAGCATTCTCAGGGAGGAGATTCCATGAACGTACAGTTGCCGGTAAATAATAATTCGAATACAGGGCTGTTCTTGTTCGAACAGGGGGGATTAGTGACGAGTTTCTCGTATTGTGATTATGTATGGTTGCATGGGATTCTGGAACTAAGTTTGATAAATATTCCGGAGTAATATGATTTTTCATCTTGTAAAAATAAATTAATCTGTGGCCCTCCCTTCGATCTTTAAGCTTTTACCAACGCGTTTCGAGATATAATCTCTCTAGGGACACCAACCTAGTACCCCAAGTTACGATCCTTGCAGCCTCTGCTTGTACTTTTTCAATTCTATCAATCAAAAGATGTGTATTGTTGTCTTGAGTTGATAGGTCTTTCGTTTCTGCGTGTCTGGTAATTCCAGAAATATCTAGATAAATTTTGGTCAGAATGATAGCAAATTACGAAGTTATCTCCCTTAATTGTTAATTTCTAGTGCATTTCAACCAAATCATATCTTGGATTACCAGAACAGGTAAAGGAAACGAATGTAATATTCATGAACACTTATACATTCTGAATTTAAATTAATGTAAAGCTAAGCGGGTTTGTCATGTTTTCACCACTGCCTGATTCTTAGGCAGATTGGTACTTAAGTGGTACACTTTGAATCAACTAATGGATCGTTTCATTGTTGTTTCATAAATTATTCAAAAATACTATTTTTTTCCTAATGAAATTGATTATCTCCTCTGCTAGAACATCAATCATGTGTTGTACTTTCCCTGACTAAACTTGCTTAACGTTTTTTTAATGCAAAATCGATAGTTTTCAAGATCAAATGCAAGTTTTATTCATAAGCTACTAAAACAATTAAACTGTCACTGAAAAATGCAAAATCTAAAAAAGAAAATGAAAGTTGAGAGCTGAAATGTTTTTGAACAATGTGTAGGTCTTGTCTTTTAATCATGTGTTTTTAACTCTCGTTATAGGGTGCTCTGATTGGCACTACAGCTTCTGTTATACTGTCGTTTTGGTTGTCAGTTGGGAAGAACTTTTCTAAAACACTGCAAAGAACACCATGGGCACCCATGCCTCCGACTGACCAGTGTTATCTATTCGAAAATACGTCACACTTTACCAATTACACAATGACCACTGAATACACAACTTATCAAACGACAGAAGCAATCATGGATCACCAAAAGTACGTTTTTAAATGAATTTCAATGCCGAAATCTGAAAAAGATACAGAAATCAACAAACAGTCTTCAATAATAATGGACAAATGCTTATTTCACATATCAATCGCTGCGAGTGTAGACAGATTTGAATAAATTAACATAGCTATCAAAAAATTTCATAGCTCAAAATCCTTTGAAGACTAAATCAGATATAAAGAAAGACAAATACTGGCAAGGTTTCTTACTAGGAACACACATCAACAGTCGGCTGGGTAAAAATAGAACGTTTGGAGAACTCAATCCCCCTAATTGTTTAACGCATTATAAATATGATTCATAATAGCATATCAGTACTATATCACGGGAAAGGGGGGGGGGGGGGTCTTTTCCTATATAAAAGTATGCACAGACATGTCGCTGGTATGGGTCACTTCTTCGGAATGCCAAATATATCAATTAGGTGCAATTTCACGATGGTAATATAACAATGGGTAGAAAAGTATATGCTTAAGTGTCTAAAATGTTCATCTTCTGTTAAGCCGGATGACTTTAAAAACTGTGTCTTATAATATGAACGATTCCATGTGGGTAACATCTTAATCAAATGACTCAGATTGTATGTTTGAAACCTGGGAAAAATATATTAATTGGATATGATTTTCCTTAAAAATATATGCATGGATAGGGATTTTCGTAAAAATGAATACATGCATATGAATGAGGGTGGTTTTTTTTATTCCCAGCTGGACATCTGTATCAAAATCTGTATGTTGATACCGGCCCTTCCCCCGTGAACTGTATTAACGACTTCACCCGGATTGATTCTTTTGAATAAGAAATTACTAATTGATAAGATTGTTATTTGATTATGTGGTAGTGTTGCAGCACAAAAAGAAGAGAAATCGTAAATGTAGACTGTAATAATCTTACCCACAGAACGCATGATGGTCCAGAAGCTTTGTCACAACATTTTAATGATGGATTTCTAAAGAATATTTGGCAGCAAAACACAATATGTAGTTGATCGTTTCTTGGGTGCAGATATAAAATGGAATTAAAACTGCAATATATTCTGATTAATTTAGGAATTAAAAGTATATAGTGGTAATCTTGTTCAGTAGTAACTTTAAGTTCTATCTTATTGAGACGTTTTCATCTCCGATCTTTTCTTCTTTGGAAGTGACAAGTCTAACAGTTTGGGGTTTTATAAAATGAAAATATAGTTACTTTATAATTACTTCGCTGATAGAGAGGTCTTTGAAACAAGTCTTCCAATTTCTATACCTTTAGGAACAGTGTTTCTTGAACTTAAAAATGAGTGTTATTTAAATAGAAAAGTAAATAAATGGTTATGAAGAGTATATGCTATATGTATATTTTGTGGCTATATTATTCTAGTTTATTATTATAAATATATTATAGTCTATATTATTTAGTATATAAGAGATTATAGAGTATTAAATTGAATTGCTAGGATAATCATAGGTACGTATTTGTTTGTGGACAAACCTTAGTATTATCAATTGCAAAGAAAGACCCGATTTTTAAAAAATGACCCAATTTTCAAGCTAAAATTGATGGAAAATTTTTATTATTATAAATAAAATTGGCTTGATTATATTTAAGAATTTAGATCCTCGATCAAATTGTTTATTCTGTCATAATATGTTAATTATTTTTCAGCGAAGGACTGGACAAGTTTTATGCATTGTCTTACCAATGGGTTGGAGTTCTAGGAATACTTTACACGTTGGTCATTGCCATTGTAACAAGTTGTATAGAAGGTTAAAACTTAATATTCTAGTATTTATAACGACCTATTTATTTTTACTGATGTTTTTTCCGATAATTATTTAAATGTTTTTGATATGGAAAACAATCATATGATGTAAAGTTAAGAAAAGATGATAGTACGCTTGCAGGAATTTTATTCTTAATACTGAAATAAAGTTATCACCTACAAATTGTATCGGTCAAGGGAAACGAAAAGATGAAAATATATTTATTTTTGTTTGCCAACATTCTTTATTAGCTTTTTATGGAAGATCAATCAAAGTAAAAATTCAAAATCATTCATTACAGAGACATGAGATCGTTTGTCTATAACCTTGAGATCGTTTGTCTATAACATTGACAGAGACATGAGATCGTTTGTCTGTATAACCTTGAGATCGTTTGTCTATAACCTTGAGATCGTTTGTCTATAACATTGACAGAGACATGAGATCGTTTGTCTGTATAACCTTGAGATCGTTTGTCTATAACCCGTCTATAACATTGACAGAGACATGACATCGTTTGTCTATAACCTTGAGATCGTTTGTCTATAACATTGACAGAGACATGAGATCGTTTGTCTATAACCTTGACAAAGTTCACTATGACCACAAACTATTCACGTTATATAGCGTGTGCTGTTATTCTTCTACGTTAAACCGGTTTCAGACCGTTGAAACGGTAATGATTAAAAAAGTTAAAAAGTCGGATACTATTTCCCTTTTTTTGTTTTATATATTTTGATCGAAAAGTTACAGTATAGAATTTTGTGGTCAACACCAGAGAGCTCTAAGATCAAGAATACATAATTTATCGACAAATAACCACATTATAAATGTCAAATGCTACAGTCAACATGAACTTTGACTTCGGTCACACATATTAGATAATTTACTTTTTGCTGTCGAAAAAGAAACACAAAATCTGAAAATTGGTTAAACGTTTCATAATACCTTATAAAAATGAAACAGCTTCAGTATACCGGGAGTGAGAGTCAATAACGATATAAATATGTCACAATTTCTGATTTTTGACTTTTAAAAACAAATTTCATATGCTACTTTTACGGCGAGGTTGCAAGCGTTTGTAAGTCATCGAAACATATGGAAATATCTATTGAAATACCTTCAATGGTTCACTGTATTAGTGCAAAATCGAAAAGAAATATCATCACTGTGGATATAATATAGTATAATATTATGAGTATAAAAAACTAGAGGCTCTCAAGAGCCTGTGTCGCTCACCTGTATTTACTGATGCTTTGGAAATCATGTAAAATAAGGTTAAAATCATAATTAATAGTATTAGATATTAGATATTATAATGATATCTAAGATAATAACAAAAAACTGCAAAATTTCTGTAAAATTACTAACTCAGGGGCAGCAACCCAAATACGGATTGTCAGATTCGTCTGAAAATTTCAGGGCAGGTAAATGTAAATCTGATGAACATTTTTGCCACCTGTCAGATTTGCTCTAAATGCTTTAGTTTCAGAGATATAAACCAAAAAACTGCATTTTACCCCTATGTTCTATTTTTAACCATGTCGGCCATGATGATTGGAAGGCGGGGTCATCGGACAAATTTTTTAAACTAAATACCTTAACAATGATTATGGCCAAGTATGGTTAAATTTGTCTCAGAAGTTTCAGAGAAGAAGATTTTTGGAAAAGATTACAAAAATTTACGAAAAATTGTAAAAAATTGACTATAAAGGGCAATAACTCCTTAAGGGGTCAATTGACAATTTTGGTCATGTTGACTTATTTGTATATCTTACTTTGCTGTACATTATTGCGGTTTACAGTTTATCTCTATCTATAATAATATTCAAGATAATAACCAAAAGCTGCAAAATTTTCTTAAAATTACCAATTCAGGGGCAGCAACCCAACAACGTGTTGCCTGATTGGTCTGAAAATTTCAGGGCAGATAGATCTTGACCTAATGAACAATTTTATCCCGTCAGATTTGCTCTAAATGCTTTGGTTTCAGAGATATGAGCCAAAAACTGCATTTTACCCTATGTACTATTTTTTAGCCATGTCGGCCATCTTGGTTCGCGGGCGGGGTCATCGGACACATTTTTTAAACTAGATACCCTAATGATGATTGTGGACAAGTTTGGTTAAATTTGTCTTAGTAGTTTCAGAGGAGAAGATTTTTGTAAAAGATTACAAAAATTTACGAAAAATGGTTAAAAGTTAACTATAAAGGGCAATAACTCCTTAAGGGGTCAACTGACCATTTTGGTCAAGTTGACTTATTTGTAGATCCTACTTTGCTAAACATTATTGCTGTTTACAGTTTATCTCTATCTATAATAATATTCAAGATAATAACCAAAAACGGCAAAATTTCCTTAAAACTACCAATTCAGGGGCAGCAACCTAACAACTGGTTGTCCGATTCATCTGAAAATTATGCGGCAGATAGATCTTGACCTGATAAACAATTTTACCCCATGTCAGATTTGCTCTAAATGCTTTGGTTTCAGAGATATAAGCCAAAATCTACATTTTACCCCTATGTTCTATTTTTAGCCATGGCGGCCATCTTGGTTGGTTGGCCGGGTCACCGGACACATTTTTTAAACTAGATACCCCAATGATGATTGTGGCCAAGTTTGGTTAAATTTGGCCAAGTAGTTTCAGAGGAGAAGATTTTTGTAAAAGTTAACGGACGACGGACGACGGACGCTAAGTGATGAGAAAAGCTCACTTGGCCCTTTGGGCCAGGTGAGCTAAAAAGGATATGCAATGCACTCAGTGACGTTAAAATAAACCAAATTCCCACAATAAATGCATGACGATTATCGAAGTAGATGGAGTCCTTGACACAGATGCATGTGTAGGAAAAAGTTAAGGACTGAAAGCTTTATAGCTCAATATATCATGATTTTGCGAAAAAGAAACTACATTGCTTGAATATTTTGAATGATGAAGAGCACTAAGTAAATGGTATTTTCTCTTCATATTTTGTAATAATTTGAATATATTATTACACGTAAGAAGTGGAAATCAAATACTATGAAATAAAAAAAAAGACATAATTATATACTTGGATAAAAAAAGGTCTTATAAAATTTGAAAAATAGAGTGTGATCAATTAAAAAAAAATTACGTTGATGTAAATACTTTATCATTCTTTTTCTTTCTTTATACATCTTTGTATACAAATGCAAATGTTTTCCTCTTATTATTTCTTCCAATTTCAGGTTTGCCAAACTCTAAAGAAATTGATGTTAAATATGTGTTGTCGTTCTTTGATCAGTTCTTTCCTTTTCTTCCACAAAAGCTCAGGACCAAATTATACTTAGGTGTACCATTTGAAAAGGTAACTAGTAGTCACTTTTAATGTTGAATATAAATACACACAAAAACCAGGTGACACATATTTGTGTCAGGGTAATGTCTACTTCCTTCATCGCTCACATGTAACGATCATCTTATTCTTTCTGTATCATCATATTTCGTTGGAAACGTTATTTGACGTTCCATTACTGTCGATGAATCTTGTCTAACTGGGGTGCGTTCAATATCGTAGCGGCTACATAGGGCTACGTAGATTTATGACTATTGAACGTGTAGCTAGCCTAGCTGCTACATAGATATTGATAGCAGCTAGGCTAGCTACTCGTTCAATAGTCATAAATCTACGTAGTACTACGTAGCCGCTACGATATTGAACGTAACCCTGATATTCGCACCTTTTAAGAAGTCCGTGATTTTTAGAAAGTGGGCGGGGTTTGATTGTTAGGCCCAAACTAAGGGAATATTTTTACTGAATCTTATCAAATTAATTTTAATACAAAACAAAAACTATATGCGAACTATGTTTAACAATGAAAGCTGCAATAGATTAAAACAGAGATTTCATATTTTTGGATAGTTTTTCAGTGTATCGTAAATTATACCATAGTTTTTTGTTGAAACCCCCCGGCAACCTCACACGACCTTGTCTCGTGAGGTTAAGGCCGGGGCTTTCAACAATAACTATGGTATAATTTACGATACACTAAAAAACTATCCAAAAACTATAAAATATCTATAACTAAATTCTTAATTAATTTATACATGAATATGTCGAAATTCACGTTTTTATGGTAATTAAGTTTCTTTTACATAATCAGAGAATATAATTATACTGTGGATATACATACTTTGCTGAGTTGTACGTGTTGTCATGCTAAGCATACCCCGGTTCGTAGTTCATGTTATCGGATAACAGGGAATAGGTGTCCGCCAGGCCCACATGTTACAACACTGTCAAGCTGCTGACCAAATAACAAGTTTGAAAGTTATGCGAAAAGTGTGATAAAAATATGTGTTAGACGTACAGACAAATGATTACAATTTAGCCCATATTTCTAAATAATAACGTCTGTATAAAATTGTCCATCAAAGACCAAAGGACAAGGAGGTAAACACTGTTCTACTGTAACAATAAATAAACCAATAATGTATGGAATGCAATAAAAGGCCAGAGATAAGAAAATGTGCAACAATGCAAAAGGGAAAACCGAAAACCTGATTAACGCGAATAACATTGAACGAAAAACAAATATTGCAGACGGAAGCCAACGACAAAAACTTTACTACAGGCTCTTACCTTGGGAGAGGTACATTAATAATGTGGCAGAGATTATGAGCACTAGCACTATCATCTCCTAATCTGACCATGGGACAGAGCTGTAACACCACAACACTAAAACAAACTGTAAAAATAAGTTGAAAATGGGTGGACTTATTAATATATCTATGCCAAATCATAAAAGGAATCTATCAGTTGAAGTTTTATTAGGTTCTGTTAACCACCTCGACTGCATGAATATGTATAAAACAAGCGACCAAAATCTGAAAAGTCTGTACTGTTTAATTTGATTTTATTCAAAGACTTTTAAAATTGGAATAGCAACCGACTTTTCAAGTTGAGTTATATCCAACCTCATTTTACACGAACCTTATATTTTTTGAATGATATTGCCATTGTACAGTTTCTTTACTTTCAACAACAATAATCTTAACATCTTACCTCACCGTGGAATAATGTTTTTTTTTTCTTTCTGAAACTTCATTCGAATGAAATGTCTTTTGAATTTCGATAAATTCATTTTCCGTAGTTTTCATGGCAATTGGTATTGTATATTCATTCGACTTGATCAGACATTTAAAACTGAAACTTTTATATTGAATCATATTTAACACCTTTTCAACACGAAAGCTTTACTAATTTTAGAGAGACGAATTACTGAAGAAAGTAGATAAAGGTTTTATGGATTACGAAGCAGAACTTTTACCTACTACGGACACAGAACCAGAAGGAAAAGATGAAATGTCGTCGAAATTTGAAGTATCCAGAAATGGGCATTCGGATGACGATGAAACAGCAAAAGACAATGATGTTTAGAAAATAAGCAGTCTTGTACTAATCAATACAAACGCTTATCAAAAGCTTTTCTTGTAATAATTAAAGCCGAAATTTAAAGTTAAACAGTTAATATTCAACTGTAAGAAATGAATTGTCGTTATATACTAATTAAAAATAGGAATAAAGAAATCGATAAGAAAAGCATTTTTGTAATATGAATCATGCATTGAACAAATCGAGATTGCAACAATTATAATTGTAAGCATATACATGTACATACATTACACAACTGAAAAAAAAAAACATGATGAATTTTATGATTTCAATGTTTACAGCAATGGGGACACGTATACTGAAACATCATTTTGAGTTTATAACTATGCGCTGTAATTACTACTGCATAGCAGACATACATATACATGTTTGACGAGAGAAAAAAACTTGCACGGGATCAGGGTCCCATGTAGCTTTCAATAGTAACACACACTAATGGGTTTGACAAACATACTTGTTTAAATTATATAAGATTGCACACAAAACACATAAATGAAATACAAACCGTTAATACAAAATAGCACTTCCTAAATTCAAATATAACATTACACACAAAACTGTGATCTAGTGCCTCCAGTTTATTTTCGACTTATGAGTTTGAATGTCCCTTTGGTGTCTTTCGCCTCCCTTGAATCATCATTTGCCAGTGAAAGTCTTAGATTGGAAATATAAAGTAATGATTGTTAACATATACCGGTGACGGGATTTCTGTTTGTTTGTAGGTTGGTTCCAATTAAACTTGTTCTGTCTACAAATGACAGTTGTTGGTTGGAGTCTGCATACTGGAATTTTTTTTTTATGCCTCATTGGTGTATACCCACATCTTCAATGCTTGAAGTTTTCGAAAACGTCCGATAGATGGAAAACCACTTTAATTTTCATAAATATGCCTTTCTATGTTTTGTAAAATGCCATCATTGTAATTATATTATGATATCGAAATGAACAACCAACTGAGGCTGTTCAAATCAGAAATAAGAAAAATCGCATTTGCAATTCAATGAAACAAAACTAGTAACTTTTCCTTTTTTAATTGATTCAGATGGTTGAACTCCTTCTCGTTTATGGCTCATCATAAAATTATTGACAATGACGAATCACCACTCTAAATCGTTTTATATAGTATCAAAATTAAAAGCATGCATTTTGAAAAAAATGGGGAAAAGGGGGGGGATAGTAGTCAGTGTGTTACTGTGTTTTAAAACCATATCTACTATAACTGTTAATTAGTAAGTTATAACTGCGTGAATTATCCTGGATGTTATTCAATTTACACATTTTCAAAAAAAAAATTTTGAGACGATGATGATATAGCCTTAGAGGGGTAAGTGAATACTATTATGAACATAATTATTTCAATTCAAATTTAAGTTACACGAAGGAGGTTTCAAAAATATGAATTTGCTATAGCCCAAGTTTAGTTTAACCAAAGCCGAAAAAACACGAAAAAGACGTGACAGCTTATGATTCAATATGTTTAAACTCATAATCCCAGATTGTATGTCGAAGTTTTCAATTTTATTTATCAAAATTTAACGATATTAAAACAAGACGAAAAACATGAGTACAGTTTTGAATTGATATGGTATCATTAAAAATAAAAGACATTCTAAATTTTAAAAAAAAAGGCAAAATTATACATATATAGATATAAGAAGATTTGGTATGTGTGCCAATGAGACAACTCTCCATCCAAGTCACAAATTGTAAAAGTAAACCATTATAGGTCAAAGAACGGCCTTCAACACGGAGCCTTGGCTCACACCGAACAGCAAGCTATAAAGGGCCCCAAAAATGACTAGTGTAAAACCATACAAACAGGAAAACCAATGGTTTAATCTATATAAAAAACGAGAAACGATAAACACTTATGAACCATATCAACAAACGACAACCACTGAACATCAGGTTCCTGACTTAGGACAGGTGCAAACATATATATATATATATATATATATATTCAAGTCTAAATTGAAAACAACGTTCAAACCTATGATTGCGTTGGATAAAAACCGCAATTTTTATACGTGTGCATGCAAAACAAATTTCTTGGTAGAGGTGTCTAAATACAGCACAAACAACATTTTCCAAAAGACCAAAAAAGTGATAAAGTATATTTTAACAAAACGCATTTGACTAGTAGGTCGAACAACGGATGTTCTCAAACCCTGCTGACTGCCATTGGCGATTGCCAAATAAACGGATCACCAGATGTAACAAAATGGATCTTAACTATTAATTTTATACCAAACAGGAAACAATAAACTTGCGAAAAAGATGGTATACCGCAAACAAAAGGTGCAAAAATTAGTACACCATATCCGGATTTCGACAATTAATGTCTCTTCAGTGATGTTAGGAATCGAAATGGTATTTGGAAGGCCATATAATTTACCTCAATTTAGGATAGACTCTTTAATTTTGAAGAGTCGAAATAGGATGAACGTTTCATATAAACCCGAAGGCAAATATAATACAAGCCCAAACGAAGAAATATAAACAAGTCTAAATTGAAAACAACGTTCAAACCTATGATTGCGTTTGAGAAAATCCGCAATTTTTATACGTGTGCATGCAAAACAAATTTCTGCGTTGGATAAAAACCGCAATTTTTATACGTGTGCATGCAAAACAAATTTCTTGGTAGAGGGGTCTAAATACAGCACAAACAACATTTTCCAAAAGACCAAAAAAAGTGAAAAAGTATATTTTAACAAAAAGCATTTGACTAGCAGGTCGAACAACTGATGTTCTTAAACCCTCCTGACTGCCATTGACGATTGCCAAATAAACGGATCACAAGATGTAAAAAATGGATCTTAATTATTAATTTAAAACCAAACAGAAAACAATAATCTTGCGGAAAAGATGGTATACCGCAAACATGAGGTGCAAAAATTTGTACACCATATCCGGATTTCGACAATTAATGTCTCTTCAGTGATGTTAGGAATCGAAACGGTATTTGGAAGGCCATATAATTTACCTCAATTTAGGATAGACTCTTGAATTTTGAAGAGTCGAAATAGGATGAACGGATCATATTAACCTGAAGGCAAATATAATACAAGCCCTAACGAAAAAATATAAATAAGTCTAAATTGAAAACAACGTTCAAACCTATGATTGCGTTGGATAAAAATCGCAATTTTTATACGTGTGCATGCAAAACAAATTTCTGCGTTGGATAAAAACCGCAATTTTTATACGTGTGCATGCAAAACAAATTTCTTGGTAGAGGGGTCTAAATACAGCACAAACAACATTTTTCAAAAGACCAAAAAAAATGAATAAGTATATTTTAACAAAACGCATTTGACTAGCAGGTCGAACAACAGATGTTCTTAAACCCTGCTGACTGTCATGGCGATTGCCAAATAAACGGATCACAGATGTAAAAAAAAGGATCTTAATTATTAATTTTATACCAAACAGAAAACATAAAACTTGCGGAAAAGATGGTATACCGCAAACATGAGGTGCAAAAATTTGTACACCATATCCGGATTTCGACAATTAATGTCTCTTCAGTGATGTTAGGAATCGAAACGGTATTTGAAAGGCCATATAATTTACCTCAATTTGGGATTGACTCTTGAATTTTGAAGAGTCGAATCATATAAACCCGAAGGAAAATATAATACAAGCCCAAACGAAAAAATATAAACAAGTCTAAATTGAAAACAACGTTCAAACCTATGATTGCGTTGGAGAAAATCCGCAATTTTTATACGTGTGCATGCAAAACAAATTTCTGCGTTGGATAAAAACTGCAAGTTTTATACGTGTGCATGCAAAACAAATTTCTTGGTAGAGGGGTCTAAATACAGCACAAACAACATTTTCCAAAAGACCAAAAAAAGTGAAAAAGTATATTTTAACAAAACGCATTTGACTAGCAGGTCGAACAACTGATGTTCTTAAACCCTGCTGACTGCCATTGACGATTGCCAAATAAACGGATCACAAGATGTAAAAAATGGATCTTAATTATTAATTTAAAACCAAACAGAAAACAATAATCTTGCGGAAAAGATGGTATACCGCAAACATGAGGTGCAAAAATTTGTACACCATATCCGGATTTCGACAATTAATGTCTCTTCAGTGATGTTAGGAATCGAAACGGTATTTGGAAGGCCATATAATTTACCTCAATTTAGGATAGACTCTTGAATTTTGAAGAGTCGAAATAGGATGAACGGATCATATTAACCTGAAGGCAAATATAATACAAGCCCAAACGAAAAAATATAAATAAGTCTAAATTGAAAACAACGTTCAAACCTATGATTGCGTTGGATAAAAACCGCAATTTTTATACGTGTGCATGCAAAACAAATTTCTTGGTAGAGGGGTCTAAATACAGCACAAACAACATTTTTCAAAAGACCAAAAAAAAATGAATAAGTATATTTTAACAAAACGCATTTGACTAGCAGGTCGAACAACTGATGTTCTTAAACCCTCCTGACTGTCATGGCGATTGCCAAATAAACGGATCACAGATGTAAAAAAAGGATCTTAATTATTAATTTTATACCAAACAGAAAACATAAAACTTGCGGAAAAGATGGTATACCGCAAACATGAGGTGCAAAAATTTGTACACCATATCCGGATTTCGACAATTAATGTCTCTTCAGTGATGTTAGGAATCGAAACGATATTTGGAAGGCAATATAATTTACCTCAATTTGGGATTGACTCTTGAATTTTGAAGAGTCGAATCATATAAACCCGAAGGCAAATATAATACAAGCCCAAACGAAAAAATATAAACAAGTCTAAATTGAAAACAACGTTCAAACCTATGATTGCGTTGGATAAAAACCGCAATTTTTATACGTGTGCATGCAAAACAAATTTCTTGGTAGAGGGGTCTAAATACAGCACAATCAACATTATTCAAAAGACCAAAAAAGTGAAAAAGTATATTTTAACAAAACACATTTGACTAGGAGGTCGAACAACGGATGTTCTTAAACCTTGCTGACTGTCATGGCGATTGGCAAATAAACGGATCGCAGATGTAACAAAATGGATCTTA